TCCCTTACCAGCTGTGTCAGGAAGTTGTCTTCCACACACTCCAGGAACCTCCTAGACTGTTTCTCTCTGCTGTATTGTATTTCCAGCAGACATCTGGTAAGTTGAATTCCCCCATGAGAACAAGGGCTAGCGGTTGTGAGACTTCTCCCAGCTGCTTATAGAATATTTCTTCTGCCTCTTCATCCTGGTTGGGTGGTCTATAACAGACTCCCACCATGATATCTGCCTTGTTGGCCTTCCCCCCGATTCTTACCCATAAACAACCTATCATTCAACCCTATCGTCACCATCATTAAGCTCTAGACAGTCAAACCCCTCCCTAAGATACAGGGCTACCCCACCACCTCTCCTTCCTTGCCTATCCCTTCTGAAGAGTTTATAGCCATCCATTGCAGCACTCCAGTTGTGCGAGTCATCCCACCATGTTTCTGTGATGGCAACTATCAACATATCAATGGTCCATATACATACTGAGGAGACGATGAAAGTTGCCTGCTCCCTCCCGCCAGCTCTGTACCTCACAGAGGAAGGTGAAGATGCCCTGATGTTCCTTGAGAAGCTTGGCGATGGTGAGGCTGCTCTGCTTGATCCCACCTAGCGGGTCAAAGAGGAGGTCACGGTTGAGGGTCCCCTTCCTCTCCTCCGTCCACACGTCGATCTCTTCCTGGTGGTACGCGAAGGTGCAGTTATCCCCGTACTTACAGTCCTGCTTGTTAAGCATATCTACAAAGCAACAAACAGCACACACCACCACACAGGGAGGGCGGCCCAGTCAGAAACTAAACTCTCTCTTGTCTCCTCCCACTGCCCACACCTCACAAGGAGCTGAAAGCAAGAAAACACAGAGTTAAAGAAAAAATAAAAGACATCTCCCCCCAAGTTTGTCTATACCAAGACATTCAGGAAAGTTAATGCAAACTACTGAATGGTGACAATCTGTTGTGGAAACCATCTCAAAATGGAGGCCTGCTTTAATTCAGTGCCTGGCCAGGGACAGACCACGATTTAACCAACCTCTTTTAAAGCCAATCCAGATTAAGTTCTCCTAGCGACCAAGCACTAAGGAGCCCTGTTATCCTGGCTCTTGCAATCTCCCCACCTCATGAGGTACTTTGTAATGACACTGCCTCAGTGACCAGTCCGGTCACATTGCCTGCACGTACGGAGGGATGGGCTGGAGCAAAGGAGCAGGCAGAGAGAGCTTTTTCCTAGGCAGAACCACAGCCCTGCCATGGGGCTGCTGGGTGGGGTGGGACTAATGCAGGCACATGTACAGGAGGCAGGTTCTTAGCAAAGTCCATGTCAACAGGGCAGCTCTGAGCGCTTGGCTGTGCGCAGCACCTCACTATGCCTCTGCAACTCTTCTGCTCCACCACTTTAAAAGCTGCCTGCTCTCCACAGCATGGGAGCTCATTGCCTTTCATTGTACTGAGCCTCCCGGTCCATGGGCTACTGATGGGACAGAAAGACCCCAAAGACAGCAGGTGATACCAACTGGAAGTCCCCTCCCAGCCTCCCCTGGCACACACCGTACAGCCCCTTCCCAGCCACCGACAGCCCTATCCCCTCCAGATCACCTTTGCACAGGTAATAGGATCCTACAAAGTTGGTTTTGGTTGGGCGAGGACGGATCCTCTTCCAGGTCTTGTCTTCCGAGTTCTTCAGCCTGCCCAGCAGGATGTCCCGCTTGCACTTGTGCTCCAAGCCTTCCCGATAGGTGTAATCACCAGCTTTGGGCCCTGCAGGAAAGAATAACCCCATCAGCCCGGGGAAAGGCAAACCCTAGCCTGGGCCAGCGCTCTGGGTGGCAGAGCAAACGCATCACCTGTTTTGGGGTAGCAGATATGACAGGCTTGTTTGAAGACGTGAGTAGATGCCAGGGGGTTCTTCACCAGCAGGGCTGTGTTGGGCATTACTGGTTCCGGCTGGGACAGCAGGTGCTCGGTGACCTTGGGCACAGCTGGGTGACTTACTCCACCAAGGTTGACCTGAGCGAAAACACACATACCTCTCTTCCCAGCTCTGCAACCACATGGGTAAGAAACCTCTCTAATTCCTTGCCCCATTCCAGTCTCTCAAAAACCTTCCTCATTTTCTCTCTCATCAAAATGTTCACATCTGAAACTACACTTCCAAAAGAGCTGCACGCAACCTTTTCAAAGATAACAAACAGCATGGTATGTTCACTTCAAAGATGGGCCTCTTTCTCTCTTGGTAAGGGACCTCAGTTTTCTATCATGAGCCACAGAACAAAATGCCCCCCTCACTCCTTCCCATTCCTTCCATCATGACTAACTCTGCATTTGAAGACTCAGATTAATAAGATTCAAGACTTAAATCAACCCTATCCCAACCTGGGGAAAAAACAAACCACTTATCAGTGAGTCTTCAGGGAGCAGATTAATCTGAGGACAGACTTAGCTCCACATTGAAGTAACAGGGATAGCAGGATGTTCCTGGAGGAACAGGACACCAGTAATTCTTGTTCTAAGCTTGCTAACCATAGATAATCCTCCTCTTTTCCTCCAAGACTGGAGACAGATGGAACAAACATCTTCATACTGACTCTGGGGAAATCTTTACCTGCCTTGCCACAATATGGGAGGCAACACTCACTGGGGCAGGTTAAGAAGAGGGACCCAAATTATCTACATCACCCAAGTCACTACTACCTTGGCTCCAGAGCACCTTGGGACATCAGCACGGGGGAGCGGCTCACTCACCACGGGGGATGTTTTTTGGCTGCCAGGTGGGTGTCGCAGTTCCTGAGGGCTAGTTTCTTCTGGGCAAAAGAAGGGGAAAAAAGCCCCACAAAACAAAAACAATCATTTCACTTTCAGAGGCAGTTCCACTCACAAAAAGACAAACAAATGCTTATTAAATCCAGTTGTTTTATTTATTTCATAACATTTCAGTACTTTTTCCCAAAACAACCTGTCTAAGTCTTGGAAGAACTCCAGGAAAGGCTTTCTTGTTCCCCAAACCCTACTGAACCCAACTCTATGTTGCTGAGCACTGGCATTCCCAAGGTGGCGCTCCAAGATAGCCCAATGTTGAGGTGAACCTGAGTGTTGAAGTGCTGACTGGACAATCTCTGCTCTTCTCAAAATACTTTTGCTGCAATACTGGGGACACATTAGCCAAGAAGAAGCCTGCCTTCCCTCCTGGGACAGGAGGGGACCTACTCTTTGCCCACCATCCTCCACAACTTTGCTCCTTGTGACATGAGAGTGCAGTGCCCCATTCAACAGGACACTCACTGCCCTGAATCCAGAGATGGGAGAGACCCACCTTGGCCTCTACCATTCTGCCCAGCGCAACAAGGTCCTATATCATCTAAAACAGTCACCAGGATTTTGCTCATTTGGTCCAAAATGTCAGAGTGTCATTGGGGAGGGTGGAGGAATCATGTTATAGCCTAGCAAATTCTGCCAAGGGAGGTGTCCTGAACACCAAGCCAGGTTTAAATCTCATTGCTCATCATTATACACCTTTGTGTTCCTTTCTCCTCTGAGATTTCACACCATGCACATACTGGTTATCTGGGATTACACACACCTATAGCCTTTCTCATTACTCCTGAGCTAGACATATTCAGCTGCTCTGTCCAAGACATTTTATGTTTGTACTCCCATTCTGCAGCACCGGCAGACAGAGCTATATGACAGATGTCCTCATCACTGAAGGAAATAATTTTGGCATGCATTCACAAGTAAAGCAGCACAAAACCCCATCAGCCCCGCACCTACCAATGGCAAAGGAATCCAAGGCATCCAGTGATGCTCTGCTTGTCCCGAAGGAGTCCAGGGCATCAAGCCGTGAGTCTGTGTAGGGGAGCAGATCCAGAGAATCCAGAGAATCTAAGGTGGAACCGCCACTTCCTCCCGGCGGGGCCTCGAAGGCATCCAGGACAGAGGACGAGGAGAGCTGCTTGGTGGGATCCATCACCAGGCCGAAGGAGGCAGGTGGCAGCGGGGTGGAGACAGGGATGCTGGCTGTCACAACCGGGGGCAGCAGCGGAGTTCCCCCCGGAAACACAGGGATCAGCTGAGGCATCTCCGTTGGCAGGTTGGTAGGAATGGTGCCCTGGACCAAAGACTTTGGGGAATCAGGAAGGGCGAGGATAAACAGCACATTAGGAACAAGGAGCAGAGAATGAGTGAACACAGAGAGCAACAGGCTCCCACTCAAGTGCATGGTGTATTATCTGAAGCAAAAGGATACCCAGCAGCTCCATCCGCCTGCAGACTTCCCACAGACCTTCCAATCTATCTACACTGCACACAGTCTGGACCAAGGTCCCTGCGGAGGTGTTGGGCTACCTGAGCTCATCAGTCTGCAAGGCAGAACCTTACGCCGGGCACTTAAAGCAGCTCAGGTCGAGAAACAGTGCAGCTAAGTACACACAGCGCCGAGGTCAGGGTAACAACCATTACCCATGGCACCTCTCAGCAGAGCTTCTTGGCTCGAGAGGCATCCTGCATGAATATGATTATACCACTTCCAGACCCAAGTTGGCTCGCATAACGTCAGCAGCACTGGCAACTAAAATCCAACATAAGTATGAATACAGGTTGCCTCTACAGCTCCCAGAGCTGTTCAAAGAGCTTAGGCTGAATGCAGCCTGCACAAAATACAAGGAGATTAGAGCATGCCCACTGTATAAAATACATCCATCATTCCTGCTTCAGCACACTCATTTCTACCCTCAGGCCTGCTTCAACTCCATGGACACCAGAGGCCAGGGGGAAGGTGATGGCAGGGGAAGGCTGTCTTGGGTACCTTTTGAGGGGCAGCTCCATGAAGTTGCACACAGCAAAGCAGGCTTGGAGGCAGGCTCTTTAGATACTCACAAGCCGGTTGCACAAATAAAGGAAGGAATGAATGAGTTTTGCCAGAGGAAGAGCTAGGAGGAAAGAGTGACAGAAAGAGAGAGAGAGGCAGCACGCATATCCACATGCTCCAAGGACCTATTTGGAACAAGAAGCAGGGGACCCATGCAGCACCCACTCTTACTAGAGGGTACGGCGACCCTTCGGCGAGGGAGTCCAGGAGGGAGTCCAGTTCTTCCCCAATGATGTCCCCATCTGTGAAGTCCTCCACGCTCTCGGGCACTGGCAGGGACACACAGTCTGGAGATGGGAGCAAGCTGGCAGCAGGCAGCGAGGTAGGCAAGCCCTTTGCATCTGAGTCAGAGGGCAAAGAGGCCAGCCCCTCGCTCACAGGGATGGAGGTGGCCACAGGAGCTGGGAGGCACTGCAGGTCCATAGAGCAGTCTGTGATGAGGGAGAAACAGAGCCAGTCACCCAGGAGAGCCTCTTGCAGGGGGCAAGCAGAGCACAGCCTGGCAAAAACAATATTGTACAACTCCATCAAATCACAAAAACCAAGTATGCCTATTTTCCAAGGGGAGGGGCTCTGGTCTGAAGAGTTCTTGCTCTTTCATTTTTGTTCCCAGTCTCCAACGGCTCACCAATAGCTGAAATACGCTCTAAGGGTCAGTGCCCAGACTGACTGTCAGGATATGGCAAGCATGTACAGTAACCAGGAACAACACAAAACCTGTGGCTGAGCAGTTACTGAATTCACTGCGGCCAGGACTAAAGGCCAGGGGCACATAATCCAATTTCCCTATAACATACCATCTGGTGTTTTCTTTAATGTTCCTCACTAATGCATTTGGCAGAGATCACTGCCTTCTCTACTCCTTGGAGCTTCAATATCCCAGCTGAAAGCTTGCTTACTCACACCCTCTCTCTAGAACCTCAAGCATCCTAAATGGCAGAAGACAAAAAAACCAAGGTCCTGCTGGGAAGAGTCGGAGATCGGGTGCTCAGACCAGGTTGTGCTAACAATGTGCCTCCATCAGACTCACTCAGCTGTCTTTACCCAAGTAAATTCCCTGCTCTCGAGTGCTTCCTGATGCCTGCAGGTGGGAGGTTGCTGCCCACACTTCCCCTCAACACCTCAGCAGCAAACATCCCCTTGGGAACTTGTGTGAGCCAGGGTCAGGGCAGGAGAGAGACAGTGATTTTCCCTAAGGCTTCCTTGCCTCTCCAGTACATTACTGAAATGGTAAGATGTTCCCATCATGCAATATAAACCTCTGTTAAGTGAAGTTAAGGTTACAAGCACATATTCTTCACAGAAGAGCATTTTATTCTCAAAAAAATTACAGGTTAAAAAAAAAAAGAAGTTCAAATGTTAGAAATTCGGAAAATGCAACATTACATTTGCAGTTCTCAAACCAAGCACCCAAACTACCTTAATTCTGCCCCTGTGCAGATGTCCTGGAATAAAAGAAAAGAAATAAGACAAAGATGCTACCTTATCCATCCACATAGCAGTGGCTGCACTGTAGCTACGACGGTCTAAGGCTATAGGCAAGGCAAAGTTTGGAAGGAGAGACAATAGCTTTTATTAGAAAGACTAATAAGAACAGGAAAGAAACTAGACAAGCTTCCAAGACACAAATCTTGATCCAGTGAGAAATGCTGCATCCTGTCTGTACAAGCTCTGCTCACTCAGCCATCCCTTTCTAACTGGGACTGGGTGAGTGAGCCATGTTGCTATCCTCTACACCGCACGTTCACTGACTGAGGACTGTGTTGGTACCCTTCTTAGAGAGCTCAGCAGATCAGCAACTCCTGCAAACCCCCAAGTACTGAACAAAACAACAGCAGAGACGACACACACACGCAGGCCCCCTTATCTCTAACCCTACCAGGAGCACACCACCACTCCCTGCAACCTTTCCTCCAGCATTTGTTGTGAGTGGTCCACGTTGATGGACCACAGCTGAGGTCGATGTGCAAGGCACCAGAGGCTGAGCCATGACAAAAGGCATGGAAAGCAGGGGGAGGCAGCAAGGGACAGACACAGGTCCCTCTCCACAACCTCATTCATGCGATCGAATGGTAGTACCTTAGGGGTACTGTTGTACCTTAGGGGATCCAACACAGGTTTTCAAGTGCTGCAGCTGGACACATTCCCCACAGGCAGCAGCTCAAAGGAAGGCTGTAAATGTCCTTAGTTTTGCAGCTGCCCCTCAGATCAGGCTCGCTCCAACCCCATGCCCCCTTTGCAATGACTTCTCTCAGCTCATCTCCCTTTGGTGCAGGCCCCCCACCTGCACTCGGGAGCCAGCCATCCAGGTTCCCTCGGTGCTGGCCTCATTGCTGATAGCTCGGCCAGATTTCCCTCAGTACAAAGGGACGGCTTGTGCCTTCCCATTTTTCAGACGTTTAAATCTGGAGTACTGCCAAGATCCCTCCAGGGGCCAACAAGAAGTTCAGGACACGCTGGAAGGGCTGGGGACACATGCAGGGGGAGTTAAAGGGTTCACAATGACAGGGCCCCAAAGGATCCAGAAGTTCAGACCTTCTCTGAGGAATGAATGAGACACTCCGGTTCCTACTTGGACTGGGAAGCAGAGGAAAGAGGCCCTCACACACCTTAAGAGGCCCAAAACCCTGAAAAGCTGAATGCACAACCAGAAGGCAGAGAACAATACACTGAGCTGTGGGGGGCCCTGTATGTGAAGGGCGAGGAAAAGAGCAGGGACCAATAGGTTCCACTACTTGCACGGGGCAGAGGGGAGATGTCTGCTCCCCTCTCCCTGACCACCCAAATCCTGTCATTCCTTCAGCCACTTCCTCCCATCCCCCTCTGTACAATCTTTTCCCCTATCCCTCCTTTCCCATTCCTGCTTTCCTCAGGAGACCCCGTCTGCTGACCTCACTTACCAGCCACCATACCCATATCTCATGTACTGTCCTTCCAGAAAGCTCATGTATCTCCTGCATTCACCTAATGTTTGCTCCATCTTAAAAAAATAAACCTGCCTTCTTCGACGAGCAGCTCACGGGCACACACCTGCCTCCCTCTGATTTCTGCCACTGCCATGACACTAAGCCCCACGTATTATTATTATAAGCTCAATGAGGGTCTTGTCCATCCGCTCCCCCAAACAACTAAGTCCCTCGTACCATGCCCCCCACCTGGTAGCTTCCCTGGCCATACACCTGCCTCTCCCAGAGGGGCAAGTACAGTGCTTTTAAAAGCCCCGCTTCCAGCTCCGCTTCCCCAAACAGCAGTGGTTCCCTAGTGCATTAGCTGGCCAAAGGCCACGCTGAGCCAGATCTGAGCCATGATCTGTGCAGAGCAGGGCTGAGTTAATCAGATGACTTCAAGCAAAGCATGGGGGAAGGGACTTCAGGAGTTTGCATCTTAAAAACAAAACAAAACAACAACAAAAACCAACAACAAAGAAACCTTGCTAAAAAAGCTTTGAATCTGAAACTCTTGAGGTACCCAGCACCCACAGCCCTCCTGGTGGCACACCACTCTCGGGGCAATGGGATAACATGTAATTTCAGCACTTTTGAAAAGTTCTCCTAGCAGTAAAGGTTGCTGCCTGAACTGCAGCAAACATGGCATGCTGCTCTTACACCAAATCCTGATTAGATAAAGAGCTTACTGAACGCAGTCACTCTTTACTCTGCAGTAGGAGTCCAGTTCATTTTAGCACAGAAAGGTAATGTGAAAAACCCTCCTTAATTCACAGAACTGGGTCTCATGATTGCACGTAGCATTCAGTTACTGAAATGGCATTCAACAGAGAACTAACATGTTTTCCAAAATAGACACCAAAGCACCCTAATAGCGAAATTAGTTTCTTTCTATAAAAAGAGCAATTGCTACTTGCAGTGTTAAGTCTTCACACTTACCTTCACACACACAGCTACCTTTCAAAGGAACAAAGACTGATGTGCTCAGAGGCACGAGTTCAATGCTCCAGCACACAACAAAGGGCAAAGCACGTAGAAAGCCTTTCTACAGGGGCAGAGTTAAGGTCACTTGTTTCCCGGCATGAGAAAAGCAACCCCGTGGCCCTCCTTCTGCTCCTCCTGGGTGCCTAACCCTGAACATGGCTCTCCCTGGGTCCCTCCCAACTCCCTTTGTTTTCATTTCCTCCACCTCAACATCTTGGAGGACCATATGCGCTCAGAGCGCAAACAGCCTCCTACAACCTTAACTTCACTTTATCTGGACTGTTGTGGCTGGGAGAAGAGTTCCAGAAGCTTTGCCAAGCCCAGCTTTAAGAAAGCACAACTGGAGAGGGCTGTGTACCTCAGCAGACCATTTTAATTCCCAGATATGTCCTTCACTGGGCCTGGACAAAAAGCTTTTCCGCAGGAAAAACACTCCTGCTTCCCACCATCTTTTCTTCCTTCTAGTTACCAAAGCCAGGAGTGTGCAGAAGAGACACAAATTAAGACGATGAACCTCTCAGGCCTGCCAGCCTGCTCAGATGCCTTACCAAAGCCACAAAAATCAGAGAAGAGAAATGTCTTTACCTGTTTCGATGTCATCTATCGAACCCAATCCATTGGAAGTGGTCTGCAAAGAGGGTGTAGGAAAGGGTAGAGAAAAATATCACCAGAAATTCATCTTTAAAAAGATATTCACACTTCACAGATGAGACCCTTTACTACCCCTAAATGCATCTGGCCCTTTCTTATCCTTTATGGCCTCTTTCAGTGCAAGAGCAGTAAAACCAACAAACCTTAAGAGGCCATTAATCCAAAGAGCCTATTCATTTTTACCTCCAGCAGTGGACAAAACCTGTTGCTGCAAAGGTATACCAGCCCTGCATAATATGCAACCGTGTGAGCAAATCTGTACATAGAATAGGGTTTTTCATGTGTGAATGAGAACGCTGTGTCCCAGGTCCCAGGACACATCAATCGGTCAGCCCCATGCAGCGTGAGATCTGATTAGCCTGATCTTACACAACATTCCTTTTCTTAGTTCACATATTTTGCAATCTAACAACCACAAACTTTTACAGCAAACTCAAAACAGGAGAAGGTTTCCGCCAAGACAACTGCTGACTTGGAGCTCTAGGCAAGGAATAAAATGAGCCCATATTTTACAGAAACATAAACAGAAATAAGTACATGTGCCTTCAGCTTAAACTTAAAAAGGCACAAGTAAAGCATTACTTTTGAGATACTGCATCTACTGCAATAGTTTTTGCAACTTCTAGTTTTTGCACTATTTTAATTTCTTGCAAAAGGAAAGATTTTCCAATTAAAAACTAGGCACAGCTATTAAAGAAAGCTGACTGGCTGTCCTAGAAAGATGTGAAGGCAAGACACTGAACGGTGGGAGGTAAACTAATTCTTTAGTATCCCATCTTGTACAAAATGTCAATTTTTACAGTTTTACAGTTTGTTTGCTTTAAGGAGTAGTGTGAAAGTACCAAATAGCCTGTAAAACCAGCAAGTGTTTGAGGGTTTTTTTGGCCAGTGGTGGAACAAGAAAATCAGTGATTTCTTATATTTTAGCTTAGTATTTGTACAGTGCCCTGCCCAAGCTGGATCTCCCAGGTGACAGGACAATACGAAGAATACATAAACTGTGTATGTACCTTGCTCAGTACATCGCATGATTTGATTTTGTATGTTTCTTTAGCAGTTGCACCTTCTGATTTTTACTTAGCGTTGCCATAACTACATAAAAACTTGAAAACTGAAACTTATTTAAAATGCAAGAGAAAGCAAACATTCACAATAACTAAGAAAAATAACCATCTTCAGTGATCTAATTACATCAAAAATGTTGTCACTAGAAATATTTTCAAATAAATTAATTTCCTTGGCCATATTCCTTAAAAGCAGAAAACACTAATTAATACATTTAAATCCTAAAAGACAGCATAAATTTGCATGTAAATAAAACCGTGAAGCATTCTAGTAGCACAATCCACTAACAGTAAGAACCACAGGATGCAAACTCTACCTGGTTTGACAAATTGATTGATGTGCCATTACTGAGTAGTGAGAATGTTTCCAATTCCTGCTGCAAGGAAGAGAGAGGTCTTAGAACAGAGACAGCCCATCAATGCTTGTAAACTAGGTAAAGCTGGGTTACAATACGGTTTCCTTCCAGGCACTGCCCATAAAATAAAAGCCACCCCAAAAGCCATACCACTGTGACACAAGGGTACAGTTTTCTGAACACTGAAAGGGACATATATTTGTTCTGGACACCTCAGTGCAAAACACCCAACATCCTACACACAATCAGGAAACAAAAAACTTTCCTGAGGAACAGAAGTTTTTGTCTTTTCATTAAGAAATTCCTACTTTGGGAAGGCATTACAGCACTAGAATGAAAGCTGGCAGTCAACACAAGAGATAGCAAGGTGTTATCAAAATAGTAATCACTAAATTTCAAATAACAAAAATCATTTTAGAGTTTTTTAATTTTTATTTTTCTAACATACAGGTGGTTTAAGCCCATCACAGCTGAGTAACATGACAGCAGCAAAAAGGTGGCAAGGCCAACACAGTGAGCAGCTACAAAAAATATTTCTGCAGAAAACTTCCCTTTCTTTGAGACAGAATCATTTCGGAGGGTTGAGAGCTGCTACAATGCCAAGGGTTTTTTGAGGGGTAGGCCAATCACACATGTGACGTTGGTCAGGGAGAGGAATAAGATGCTACAGCCAAATTCACTTGAAAAGCTCTCTGCAAACTGGATGCCCACCAATCACTTCACCGCATACTGCAAAGGTGCCCCTCTGGAGGTGGAACATACTGGCTGTTTAACACACCACTGCACACGGGGCTGAGGATGCAAATGTAAGCCTCGACTACTAGCTAATGTTCCCTACTCCTGAAAACGCATCCTGGGATTTTACGTGAGCGAGGCAGCTTTATCCAAGAGTGGTAGCAGTGGCCTAACGCCCTCTAGCTCCATCCCAGGGTATACATTTAAGTACCAACAGTACTCCAGTTACGGCAGCACTTTCTTGTAGAGCCAGTTACGGATTCAGACACTGGGGTCAATTTATTGGACCCACGATTTGCTTTTTGCTGCCTTCTTTCCTAGCACCTGACCAGATGTGTACTTGTCAATATCCCAAAGCACAAGCCTTTGCCCCACCATGAAGAAGGTGTATGCCTAGATGTGGGGCAAGAGCCCCTCACGACCCATTGCACTACAAAACCAGACATGCCTCTGATGCAGCAGAGGATCCCACCCTTCTCATCCCATAACAGGGAAAGGAGTGCAATGCAAAACCTCATTTGTGATCAGGCCACATGTCCCTCTCCTCCCAAAATCACAGGCTCGCAGTGCATTGGAAGCCTCTCCTGCAGCACAGCCCAGCTCTGCCCAGCTTAGCTGGGGACACAGGAAACATCCTGGCAGTAGATACAGCGCAGCAATGGGGTTAGAAATGGATCAAGGCAAAGTGAGTCAGAGAGTCAGGACAAAGAAGGTAGCCAGCGGTCTCTGGAGGGATCACAGGGTAGTGTACGTGTGTCTATAGCCGCAGAGCAACACCTACCACTTCTGCAAAAGTAAATCTGAAAGAGCCAAAGAATAGTCTCTAAGAAAAAAAAAGTCATACCTGAGGTCTTTTGTATGCTTTTCGAACCCTCAGACCCAGCTTCTGAGCAAGCTCCTGTCCCAGCTGTGTGACGCTTTCATCCTGCAGAAAAAAAAACATTGGCAGGACACTTTCAGTTTTGTCTTTGCAGCACACACAATGAAATAAACAGGAATGCGGTTATCCACACTGGGCTGTGCCAAGAAGCCTCACTTGTAGACAGCAGCAGGCGGACAATTGCCAGAGCAGCCCTAGGGGAGTCCATGCAGACCTAAGTGCTTGTCCTGGTTTCGGCAGGGATAGAGTTAATTTTCTTCCTAGTAGCTGGTACAGTGCTGTGTTTTGGATTTAGTATGAGAATAATGTTGATAACACACTGATGTTTTAGTTGTTGCTAAGTAGTGCTGACACCAGTCAAGGACTTTTCAGCTTCCCATGCTCTACCGACTGAGAAGGCTGGAGGCGCACAAGAAGCTGGGAGGGGGCACAGCCAGGACGGCTGACCCAAACCGGCCGAAGGGATATTCCATACCATGTGACGTCATGCTCAGAATATAAACTGGGGGAAAGCTGGCCGGGGGGGCCACTACCTGGGGACTGGCTGGGCATCGGTCGGCAGGTGGTGAGCAATTGCATTGTGCATCGCTTGCTTTGTATATTCTTTTATCATCATTAGTAGTAGTAGTAGTATTTTATTTTATTTCAATTACTAAACTGTTCTTATCTCAACCCACGAGTTTTCTTTACTCTTCCAATTCTCTCCCCCATCCCATGGGGGCGGGGGGAAGAGTGAGCGAGTGGCTGTGTGGTGCTCAGTTGCCGGCTGAGGTTAAACCACGACAGTACTCTTGTCATTCAGTCCTGCTGAGATACTGAGGTTGCACCAGGACCTCCCCCCACACTCTTTCGATGCTGCAGAAAATCCGAATCAAATGCCTGCTTCCAAGAAAGCACCCACTCTCCAAAAGCAGGGTTCACAGAGTCCCGCTGGCAAGATGGCTGAAGGAGCTGCCAAGGCTAGCTGCTAGCAGCCCCTGTGCTGGGGGCTGATACAGCTTCCACAAGGTCCCCATGTCTGGGAAAAAGGAGCCTGCATGCCTTCCCGCATGCACAGCCTGTATACTTTCCCTCTCTGCCAGCCACAGAGCTAATAATCAGTTTTGATATGCAGACAGTATTCACTAGCCTGTTTTGCTTGCTTGTTTGTTTTTAAAGCTGAAACCAAGTCTCAGTTTCCAACTTACTAGCTACAAGGCATTTTCACCATCTCTGGCTCTGGTTAAACAGCCTCAGCTTAGTCAAGCAGATCCTTCTGCTTTCCCTGCTGCATGCCATTAACCATCCTCCCTGCCCACTGCCCAGGCCCACTCACACATCATCGTGGGCTTTAGTCAAAGTTCTGGGCCACGCTCCATTCCCTTGCTCCATCCTCTCCAGTTCTGCCTGGACTAACAACCTGCCACAACCTTCTTCACTTATTTATCACCAGCAACTCTTTCCTTCTGCTTTCCTCTCTCTCCCTGTTTTCAAAAATACTGGAGTACTTTTAACAGTTTCTTCAAAGAAGAAAAAAATATCTGCCCAAACTATTGTGATATCCCTCCTTAATGTCCCAACATCTCCTCCCTCATCTCCAACCTTGAAGCTTGCTGTCTTCTACTTGCCATGCCGGTCTTTCCAACCTCCTTCTCCCTGCAAGTTCATCCTTTCCCTTTCAAGCCCTCACTAGCCTCTGGTTCTTCCAGCCCACAGTATCAGTAACTTTTCCTTTCAATTTGGAGTGCCACTTTTTGACTGTACTTGCTTCCCCACACCCTCAACTTTGGTCTTGTCGCTTCTCTGAACTCAGTGAAAACAAAATCTATCTTGTCCATTTCCTCTTCTCTCTCCATCTTACACCCCTTCAGGATGTACCTTCTCCTGAAACTGTCCCCGCACCCTCCAGAGATCTCTTCTTGGTCAAATCTCATGGTCACTGCTCCTTCCTCACTCTCTTCCACCTCTCAGATCTTTCTAACATCGATCACATTTTCACTGCTCTGTTTGCCTCTGGTGATTCTGCCTTTCCAAACACTCTCTCAGGTGTCTTCTGAAGTCTGCCATTTTCTTGCTCCCTGTGGAAAACTCACCAGAAAGACCTCTGACGTCATTTCATTGATCTCATACTCATACCAGGTTTACCCTATCCAAATCCACATGCCAATGTAACTCCGAGAAGTCTTCTCAGATTTCAGGACAAGATCAAGAATGTATTTCTCTCTAGACTGCCTCCACTTCCCATCCCAACAACATGTAGTTAATTATTGTCCTTTTTGTCAGCAGACCTGAGGTTTGGGGGTAGGGGGTTATTTGCTTTTTGTCACCCCCAAGATCTTCCTTTAGCTTTCCCTTCCCTCAGCCAAATGCCACCCTCAGGCGCTTACTACCTCCCACCTAAATGAGGGGATGCTCAACAAGGGCATGCAATATGCTCTCCTCCAACATCCTAAAACAACCCATGCCATACCAAAAAAAGCATACCACAGAGGATTATCAACGTCACCATGCTGTGAACCTCTGCAAACTATCAGCACTGAGTATCTGCACCCAGACACAAGTTAACTCTGCTAGACAGTGAGTTAACTGAGTGGCAGAACCTTCATCACCGTAAGTTTTAACACATGCTCTGCTTTGACCACAACAAAGTTCTCAGCTGTTACAGCAAGGCAAGCTGGAAGTACCCGTGTGCTCCAGAGGCTTAGCAGCTGGTGTAATGGAAACAAGAGTGAGACGATGGATAGCATGACTTGTCTTTGATGCAGAGAAGGCTTATGATTTCTGTTAATCAGGTAACAAGGCAATGGGGTATGTTAATTTACAAGACTGAATTGTATAGAATAGGGAATGCAGATCACTCGATATGGAGTTTGTAAGGCTGAACTTTCCTGCCACAGAGAAGTTTGATAAAGTGTTTGTAGACCACGATGATTGTAATGATAATAATGGGAGATATGTAAACATAAGTATATGGTTAAAAAATAAATTCAATTAAGTGGCTCAACTGCAATGTGAAATATAGCCAGATATGGCTTTACACGAACACATACATTAGATGCTTTTGTTTATAAAAGGGTTTGTTTAAAAAGCAGTTCTTTGGAAGTCCCCTAACATGATACCTTTAATGTGTTTTGGTCACCCTGTTCTGCCAAGTCAAATAAACTAGAATTTACAAGCTATACAAAAGGAATAACTAACTGCTAACAAGGCTTTCAAAGATTGCTTCTGTAATACTACTAATAAAGGCAAATTAACTTCTCCTGCTGAAGGAGATGCATTTTTCTTGTAATAGTATTACTGTGATGGATCAGAACCAAATTTAGCAAAGACAACCAGTGCTCACTAGAATCTATCTAATCACAGTCTGGTTTCCTGTTCAATATTTGGCCTAAAAGGACTCTCAACAAAAGCATTGTCAGGAAAATATCTAGGGCCTAGTATATGCAGATAGTCCCCTCTGAATGCAAAAATTTACACACCTGTGAACATAAAAATAACTATGACGTGATATCAAGGACACCTTCGCATGTCCGACAAGAAATAAAAAGCTTTATCAGCTTGCCTTAGCAATCAGTAAGCAAAACATGAGACATTTTTATCTAAACCAGGAAAAGTATACATGTTTTCCTTCCAGTGCTCCAGTTCCTATTTGTCCCATGCTCCTAGTTACTCCCATTAAGACATATAAAACCAGCTAATTAAAACAATCTCATGGCCTTAGTTCACATTTTGTTAGGGTAGGGTTTTGCTCTCCACAAATAGGCCACCAAACTTGCTGTCACTAACTGGTGTCTCTGGCTGGCACTGTCTGTAGTGGGTGACTTGCACTGAAGAAACGTGAGGTCAAACATCTTCTTCGAGCCAGAGAGCCAGAATTTCTGGGCATAAGCATGTTCCCAGGAACAGCCAAGCTTCCTCTTCCACTATCCTCTGGCCTCACACTAAGCATGTTACGGAGGAGGAAGGTGGTGAGCCACAGAAATCAAGATGAGTCGTATGTGAAAAACTTACATGTGGGAGGGACAGCAAGCATCGGCTATTGCACTCATATGCTTCTTTGTGTCTTCCAAGTTCATTTAGGGAGCGGGCTTTCCGGAAGAGCGCTCGGATATTCTCCTTGTCAAGACTTAAAGCCTTCTCGCTGTCTTCCAGTGCCTTCTCATACAACCCCTACATGCAAGAAACCACCTCGAGTCAGCTGAGGCACAGGAGACTAACCCCTCCTTCTATGTGAATGCAAATGTTTTATCTCTCAGCAGAAAATAGGAACATAAAAGGCAGTTGGAAATACATATATTAACTCACACACAGACCAGTGTACAAACACACAAAACCAACAGTACTAGAACATTTTGTCAAGTCTTGCAAAACTCAAAACACTTCAAAGTCAGTGAATGCCAGAATTAAGGCTGCTTGAGCAACCTTATCTTGTCTACCCCCATACCTTGGGCATGTGACATTTGACAGTCTTTAATTATGTGACTGCTTGCTAATTTTTTTCATGGGACTCAGCCTCATTATGAACAGGATGGACCTGCTCTGGGGTTGTGCCATAAAGGAAAGCTGTTAGATTCCTTAGGAAAATGGAAGCACGCAGCCTTTTAAAGCCTGAGTACTGCAGAATCCTTTTCCATGTATGTGCTGAAAGTTCTGCCAAGACCCAAAGCCTTCTCACTGTCTTCCAGTGCCTCAATTGAGGAGGCAGGAGCCTCCAGAGCAATACTCAAACAGTGTTGGCAGAGAAATACTCAGTCAGTACTGGAAGGCACTGGCTTTTTCCAATCTCCAGATTGTACTAACTCCTCACCAATGTGGACCAGAACTGCATTCTCAGTACCTTAGGCCTGGCCCCCTCTCCTTCACATCCTTCCTCTGGTCTCGCAAGACACAGTGCGATAGTGGGGAGATACCAGTTTTCTGTGTGTCATCGTCTCCTCCAGTGTTGGAGGAGGGAGCGGACAAAATCAATTGAAACCCCTCTTGATATCTTTTCCAATTGCATGGTACTGCAATCATGATGTCCTCCCTGGCCCCTGGGGGTGACTTGGGAAGGTGCTCACCATGGCGAAGTAGCAGGCAGCTCGGTTGACATGCAGCTTGCACAGGAGTTCCTTTGGGATGGTCACCTCATCGGAGGCTGCGTAATCTGCCACATTCAGCCCTTCTACATACTGTACCAGTGAAAGCTTGAAATCCTTCTCTCGGAACAAATCATTGCCCTCTGCAAACAAGTTTCTCACCAGCTTCTGCAAAAAGGCCTGGGCAGCAGGGAGACAGCAAATAGACTGAAGTGGATATTCAGAGACAGGAGATGTTTCCCAATTTCCCGTTCCTTTCTATATGTTTTAGCAAGCTTCCTGCCCATTAAGATTCTCCTGCCTTCCCACCCTCCTGTAAAATATCAGTCTTTTGGTAGAGGAGAATAATCCAGTCAAACCTCCTTGCTTCTTGAACACTCAAGTGTCTTCTCCTTTTCTTGAAAGTTGTCATTGTCAGAACCTTAAAGCTTTAAGTTACAGACAAATTGTGACAGACCATCCCACACTCTCCACTTTTGGTATGTAAACTAACGGCTGTGCAACAGAACAAATCTTGCTAACCAAAGAGTTCCCAACTTCAGAAAACAAATTCGTCATTACCTCATAATCTTCTTGGCTTAGGGGTAATGTGGACCTGAAAAAAAGAAGAGAAAATTCTCATGAAACAGGCATCCATACAAACACAGGCTTTTGTCTGATGAAGAAACCATCTTTCTGGTCCTGTGTTGATGATCTCAGTGAGTTGCTGAACAGTTTATCACTTTAAAGGCAGCTGGGGCAAAGAGAACATGATTAGGGAGCACTGTGCTCAGTGATGGCCACAGTGGTGTCAAGAGATGATCAGATCCCAAAGGGATTTGAAACTAGAGGAATCTTATTCTCAGCTATTTTCTGCGCATACATGATCCTCTGTAATGTGCCTTCAGCCAGCCACCTAAAAAACCCACCATCTTTGAGAAAGTCCCATGAGAGATTGTCATGGAGAATATAAGTGTATTTTAAGTGCATCTGGCTCTAATGAGAGGCACCAGACTGGCACTCCAAGACCTCCTCAAATCCTCTGTGTGACTAAAGACATACAGTGATAAATGCAATCACTTTCCTCTGCATTAACTTAGCCACACGCCTTTAGGCCTACACCACAAAAGGAAAGGAGAAAATGCAGCTTTTGGAGGCCATTTAACTCCAGCTGTCTTGGCCAAGGCTGCCAGGCTGTGCCACAAAACTGGCAGTGCTTGTGTGGATAACACCGACCCCACAACAGCACTGAGACTTAGATGAAAGGTTCCATTCTTCAAATCAGACCACCCAGGTCATCCAGGTTTGGTCCACATGTATTTACTTTATCTCTTCAAGGAGAAGACAACAGGCTCTAGAGAAATCCTTAGCACCTTTCATGGCCCTCCTCACCTTTGAAATACAACATCATATACATGATCTTATTGGTCAGAGAATAAACTTTTTTTAGATTTCATCTAATCTAATCATCATCTGCTCCTTAAAATTAACTACAGGAAATGCCTTGGCTTTGTAAGAAACATTCATGCTGTTTATAAAATCGGACTACCCCTCTTTCACATCAAAACAAGCTGACAAATGACACTGCCCCTGGTTCGGAGTTTAAGATACACTCCAGAAGCATGAACAACACCCCATATTTCTAAATTATTTTCTTTCTAATAAATAAACCTCACAATTGCCTCTCTGAAACTGGGTTATCAGCCCTATTTACTCTCAGTCTGGGGCAAAAATATGATTGCCATGCCACAGGATATAAATATGTAACATGAAAGATTTGGCTTTTTTTCCTATTGTAGATGCACAGATTTCAGCCATAATAACTGCAGGACTCAAAGCAGACCTTAAAAAAACCCCAAAACAATCTGATTACAGTCTTGCTGCTTCCTTACTGACCATGAAACCTGGAACTGAGCCTGAGGCCTTTGCTAACTCAAACACTGGAGGGAAAAAAAACTACTGTACTTTATAAGGAAGCACTTGGACTTGTAGCTACCACACAAGCAACCACCTCAAGCTCTAGAAGTCCACATGATATTCACAGAAGAGTGACCTGAGGCATCTACCAGGCTGGCAACTGTAAAAGAGCCCAGGTCATCTATTTCTGCTATAGGCACTATATGGGGCACCTGGCAAGTCATTTACCCTGCTTTGCCCACCTACAAAACAGAAACACTATCTCCCTTCCTAAGAAAGGTGGGATAACCTTGTTGAGAGAGCACTTTGAGATCTTCACACTGAAGATAAAAGTAGAAGGTCCAAGTACTATTTGCATTATGCTGACTATAAAGATCATCCTGGAACTGCAGTGGAGGACAAAACCCAAGGAAATTAAAATTACACAATTTCAAGTTTAGAGAGAAGGCAGGACAAAAAGCACCCTGAAGAACCACAGTGAAAATCCTCAGGACCAATATCTCTTTCCCATGCAGCAGCCCCAAAGTGCTGAATAGGAGGAACTCAGTTCCTGCAATCCTTGATACGAAGACAACCGCCTACAAAGCCACAGGAAACAATGAGGTTGTCCACTTACTGAATGAACTGAAGTCCTTTCTCTATTTCTTGTTTTCTCTTCTGTCTCTCCATTATAGTCGCTGCAGAGGAAGAAAAAAAAAAAACAACACAAAATGAGTCATTATAGGTCTTGCTGGCAATTAAGCAGCACAGTATTTTGTGTGTGCCTGAATTTACTACTAACAAAATGTTCCAGACCAGATCCCCTGAACGCCGAAGTCCATGATTTATCCACACAGCAGACACAGGACGGCAAACAGCTCAGTACCAAGTATCTGCTTTCTCTCACATGCCACTGGCAAGATACATGGGCAAAGAAGAATTACTTCAATTTGAGCTCTCTACTTAGACTGCCGGTAATTAAAGCAATGGGAACCAACTGTGATCGTGACCTGCCTTCTAAGAAAGGAAAAAAAAAAACAATCAAGAAAGGAAAAAAAAATAATCAACATTTCCCCTGCACTGGGAGTCATTTCAGGAATTTGTGCTGGGACCCTCCCACGATAAGCAATTCTGAACACTGTTTATCTGGGTTTACCTCATGGCATACGAAACAAGTGATCTACATAAGGTGTCTGGAGGCATATCACAGAGAGACACGCAAAGGAAGGAGATGGAGTTGCTTGCCGTGGTCCACATAAAAGAACAGTGATGAATCTAAGCAATGGGAATTTCATGCTGAAAATCAGCAGGCAAGAGTAGCAGAGACTTGGGAACACTCCTTCGAAGAGGGGACAAGGCCCCATCCTGCAGTGTTTTAAATTGAGGTGGTCAGCGCCTGAGGAAGACTCAAGAGAGAGTTATCCCCGCCTAGTCAGGGACACAAATGGGCACAGTAACTTGTCTAGGTTTGACCAAATCCAGTCTGGGTCTCTGCGAGTGCAGACAAGTAAGGAGTATGATGGAGCCATTTTGGAGTGATGTCCCTTTTCTCAACTAAAATGGGTTTGAATCACACCATTAGATACATGAGCTTCATTCCCTGTGTTTTGGGAGCAAATCTTGGAATGGCTCCTTTCTGACCTCTCCCCAAGGTACACAGGTCTGCCACACAAGAAAAGAATAAAGAAGGGGAGAAGGGATGGCACTTTGTGGCAAAATAGAGTTTCTGGTGACAGCAAATTTCCCAGCCTTGCCATCAACCAGCTGTGATCACAAACAATGCTCAGCATTTGAGGAATGGTAACTTGGGGACAAAGGCAGCAAGCACAGAAACACCGAGATGAGATGGAGCTGAAGACACTGCGCCCTCCCAGCCTGGGATCACCTCTGAAGAGATTACAAGAAAAAAAAAAGTAATTTCTCTAACTTTACACTACAACAGCTTGGAAAGCATTACCGCCCAGCTTCGTTTTACATTAAGACCATCCCTACCATTCTAAGGTATCTTACAGTATCTGTGGCACGTTCAGCCTGGCACAGGGTGAAGGGACCTTTAAGGTACATGAAAATCAATCCTGACAACTGAGCAAGCCCTTATTGATTGTGCTCTGTGCCATGCAAAATGTAGAAGAATCAATACCTGCCCTTTACCAAGAAGGAGAATTGGGGGAAGGGGGAAGGGCAGGAGCGAGAGAAAGACCAGAAAGAAGCGGTAGCAGAAGGAAGCAAGAGCTTGAAAGTGACACTGTACAGTTTGTAAGTCATCAGACATTAAATCTGAGAGCAATCTGGTCCGAGCAGCAGGTAGAAGATTTTAAGCAGCTGCATTTGGAACAGGATGGGCAGTGCAGCAAGAAAGGGAAAGCCAACAGACAAGGTGAGTGATGATCAGCATCTCTATAAAGGCTTTTAACAGAATTGATGGAGAAGAGCAGGTAGACTTCAGTACAACACCAACAGAAGACCTGGAATGATTTATAAATAACCTGGATAACGAGTAATCAGGAAGAAAGAAGGAAATTTAACAAGGAGACTGTGAGGTTAATATGATCACTAATGCTACAGGCAGACAGGCTTGAGGAGTAGAAAAAGAGATAGAGTCCGTTTATTTTACATTTCTCCTTGCATGAAATTCTGCAAAGACAGAAGAAGTAAGAGAGAACATTCAAGGTGAAGAGGAGCAGTAGGAACCATTTCCACACAGACAGCAGCGAAAGCCACAAAAGAGGACAGAACAACCCCAGAGCACTGTAGGGGAGAACTGTGAGGGCCATCAGAGACAAGGGTGAGGAAAGAGCCACCACAGGAAATTACAGGAGATAAATTGGTGGGGGAGAAGAGGAGTTAAAAGGTCAAGGGGACCCTCACAAAGGCTGATGGGAGAAAGGACAGGGAGGAAGGAGGAATTTCTAGCTGTCTGGACCCTGAGTGCACTAACAGGCTTTCAATGCCCCAAACAGCCTCACCTCAGACCCCCACCCACGCACCCTCTGCCCACGGTCCAGGAGCTCCATTTAAGTTCAGGTCCAGGCATACTGCCTCATCTGAGCCACACTGTAGGTGCACCTGTCCTCAGTTGTATCTCCTGGACAAACCTTGGACCTACACTGTAGGCAGCTTGTCTCCAGTCCTGTCTCTGGCACCATCTTCTGCTGCTGGACTTGCTGGGTACACCCTGGACCCAATTAACCACCTCATCTTCCCTGGGACTGTTGACGGACCCCTGCTATCAGCATCTTGTTCTGCCTGCCCTGTTCAGATATGGTGGCACTGTACCCTAGTTAATGAGGACACTGCTCGTGGCTGTCATCACCTTTGGCTCCTAGGTTGCCCTCCCTGGAGGAGCAGCCCTGCTCTTGCTGCTCCCTGACATGAGCCACACTGGAGAGAACAGAAGTCAGGGAAGTGAAGTGGCAGCCCACGGATCTGATGAAAAGGGAGATTGTTGGCAACTATGGGGAGAGCAGCTGAACACTGGCTGGTCATCACAAAGTCAATGGCTGCACTCCAAAAATGCTGTGGCACACCTTCACAATTGTGTATATCCACAAAACAGATCATCACCTTGAAAAGCTTCTGAAACGCACAGCCTACTTCAACCTCTGCTTTTGAGCTCAGCTCTTAAAAGACTACTGCAAGGAGCAAAGAAGAGATCAGTTACCTGTTCTCACAGCTATCCTGACCCCACTGCTAAAACATCCTACACAGCAGGATGTGGGCATGTGTTACAATGAGAACTGGTTACTGTTGCCTGCCCACAGAGGAGGGCATTCAAACATTACTGACCAAAAGCTGGAGTGGAGCCAAAGGACTACAGGGAAAGGCTCCAGAATTCCTCCTTCCTAGAGTTATCCAACTCCTCTTGCATCCTTGAGCTCCCCTTCTGTTTCTTCTCTCCTCACCACCATTGCCACCACATCTAACATGCATATCTCCATCCTTGCTTCATGTGCATGGCTGACCAACCTACTGCATCTCTGTAAGTCCCACAATACCCAGCTACAGTTTTGACCCTTGCTACAAAATCCTCATTAAAAAACCCCCTCTGTGCCCTGCATGCTGTTTAATCTCTGCAGTACTACCCTCATCTTCCACAGTGAACATTCTCCAACCCAAGACCCTCCACTGCCTTCTTTAGACATAAACCGCAGTCCTGATCTCCCCTCTAGACTGTTGTTCCCTGATACTGCCCCACATTCCTCTCGCCTTGCAAGTGGGTGACCAGCTTCCTCTGCTAAAGCTCCGTCATGCCTTCACGCTTATGTCATGACTTTGCACATAAGACTCATCTCCTCATAGCAACACCCTCAAAACGCACACCACAGGCTGCTGCCCTAACAACTTCTTTCACATCTCTCAGGAACAACCACCTTTCCCTTTCTATCTGACTCCACACCAGCACCCTCCTCCACATGTGGCAGACCTCTCCCCCGTCCTGCCTGCCCCATCACTGCTGGAGGCTACCATTTGGACTCCTCCTTTTGCTCCTCACACCTCCTCCCCTGCCACCTCCCCAGCAAACTCAGGTCACTTCTGTCTCCTCTTGTCATCCCAGCCTCTTCACCGTGTCTCATTCGACCCTCGGACCAAGCTGCACACCCATTACGCCAGCAAACCCAAGACACAGCGAGCCACCCATACGTGCAACACTTCAGTTCTGTTGCACACCATACCACAGCTGATGCATAATTAATTTTAAGCGCGGAGCCTGTTTAGCTTTTGTTTTCTCAGTCTTTTAAATATTTTTAGAAACACAGCAGAAAACATTTCATGAAGCAGAGTGCCTAAGCATCCTTTTTTTTTCCCCCACCAAATCTGTCTGTCCAGACTTGTCTGCTCAAATCACCCGCAGAATTCGAATCCAGAGTATTTATAACCCCACTACAAAGCTCTTATCCTTTCAGTCCAGAGATGTTTATCCTCTCTGGTCCAGCATCTAGAGAAGACTTTATTCATAGTTCGTCAATGAGTTCAAACTATTTGCCAGACAGAAATAAAATACTGCAGATAGGCAAAATGGTTTTCTTGCCTTCAGAAGGAAGCACGAGCCAGTAAACAGGGTGACTCAATCACAAACTGGGTAGATTCACTCTACGAGACACTACAAGATGAACGGAAAGACTTGAATTTACCTTATCAAGGACTGGATGTTATTCCCAACCCTGCCAGAGCTGAATTTGGGCAAAGTTTTTCATACTATATTTCTGGGATGGCAATGAGTTCACACTTGACTGACTTCCAGGCTTTGACTATAACATTTCAGCCAGAAATAAAGTGCACTGAGATGCAAGTGGCAGGTTGTAGAGCTGAGACAGGAGCTCAGCCACAAGCTGTGTGCACTCTCCTCCAGGCAAAAGGCTCCAGGATGCACTACTCTGCAACATGGAGTCTTTCACTGGCTGCAGTTTGGCCACCTCAGTGGTGCAGCAGAACAGGTAACTGGACTCACGTCAAGCAGAGGACAAGCCGCACAGCCCACTACAAACACGGGCTCCCAACTCGCTCCTGTGGCTGCTCTCTGCCATGCCCTACTCCCTGGGTTTGAACACTTCTCACAGCCGACAGCTCTCGGGGTCCCCAGCACCTTGCTGTGCCCACTGGGTCTGACGACTGTGTCCCTCCATGTGCCTGCCACCCCAAGGTACCTCCATGGCTGCTCTCCCACACCCTGGCACCCCACTAGTCCCGCTCCTGCCCCACAGCACCATCGGGGCAGCTGGCATCGGGGTGCCACCAGCTTCACCCAGCAATATCTCCAGCAAATGCGGGGTGAGGCAGCAATGAACCCCTCACCCCCAGTTGAAAATAAAACCATCAACCAGATGTTTCCTTGGGAAGAGGATGGAGATAGCGGCCAAAGCCTCAAGAGGCCACCCAGGGCCCCATCACCCCATTTTCCGCTCCCTCCAGTCTCACACCCCATGCATAACACTGTTTACTGCAGGCCATGCCACACGTAACACCCCCATGTATTGTGGGCCACCCTTCCTCCTGCCCCAGCCCTCCGGGCCCTGCCCAAGGGGCACTGCAGTGTGGCCCGGGGTGTGAGGAGGGGGCAGTGGGGTGACACTGCCCATCCCTCGGCCACTTGCTGTTGGTTTCGTGCCCAGCCAGGTCGCCCTCCCCTGCCTCGCTTTAAAAATTAAATCCCGGGGCCGGTTCCCACACGGGTGGAGCGGGATCCCCCGCTCGCCTCCTCCC